GGAGAGGATGAGGGCTGCAGGAGGGGGTACAGGATCTGGGAGGGAGTTTGGGTGGGGCAGAGGCTGGGGCAGAGTGTTGGGGTGTAGGAGAGGATGAGGGCTGCAGGAGGGGATACAGGATCTGGGAGGGAGTTTGGGTGGGGCAGAGTGTTGGGGTGCAGGAGAGGATGAGGGCTGCAGGAGGGGTACAGGATCTGGGAGGGAGTTTGGGTGGGGCAGAGTTGGGGTGCAGGAGAGGATGAGGGCTGCAGGATCTGGGAGGGAGTTTGGTGCAGGAGGGAATTCTGATCTGGGGCACAGGTGCAGAAGGGGGTGCAGGGTCTGGAGGGAGTTTGGATCTGGGGCAGGGGGTTGGAGTGCAGGAGGGGGTGCGAGATGCAGACTCTGGCCAGGAGACGCTTACCACAGGTGGCTCCTGGCCGGCGGCACAGCAGGGATCAGGCAGGTTGCCTGCTACCATAGCCCCACGCCCCTTCTAGAAGTGGCTGGCTGCTGGCACGTCTCTGCGCGCCCCTTGGGGGAGGAGGACAGTGTGTCTCCAGGCGCTGCCCATGCCCAGGAGCGCCATCCTCACAGCTCCCATTGGCAGAGCAGAGGCTCCGGGATCGATCAGTTGATTGCAATCAATGGGTTGGTGACCACTGAATTGTATATAATTATGGATTTATTTTTGCAGGGGTCTCCTTAGCCTGATGCCCTCGGCTGGAACCCATTAAATCCCCTGCATTAATCCAGCCCTGCTGCTGGAATCCTGGGTCCAGTTTTGGAAATAAGGCATAACTTTGTAACCGCGAGAGTAATTAACCACTGGAACAATTTACCAAGGGTCGTGGTTGATTCTCCATCACTGGCCATTTTTCTAACAGATAAGAATTACTGGGGGGGCTGGGCTATGCCGGGGGTCAGACTGGATGACTTCAGTGATCCTTCGGGTCTTGGAATCTTGGCATCGCTGCAGAGGGAAGGCAGGCAGGCCCCTAAGGAGCAGTCAGTGCTGTGGGGCACCAGGGGTAGGACCAGTGCAGTGCCTCAGTCTCTGTAGCTGGGAAATGGGGATAAAGGCACTTGCCTGCGTTGGTGAAGCGCTTTGGGATTTATAGTATCTGAGCTAGGTATCATCATCATCAGGAGCCCCGCAGCTCAGAACACACAGCGATTGCCAGACTGGAGCAGACAGGGGTCTACTAGCCAGTCTCCAAAGAAGGTGGAAGAAACCCTGCAGAAAGCATTACACTTACCCACAAGCAGCTTCCTTCCTAACCCACACACAAATTGGCTGCTGCCCTAAACCAGGAAGGCTTCCAGCGCTCTTATTTTTTAAACTCTACTGGTTCTTGTTATCCATAAAGAACTCCACTCCTTTCTTGAATCTTGCTGCGCTCTTGGCCTCAGTGATCCCTTGTGACAGTAAGTTCTGCAGCTTAACTGTGCACCATGTGACCAAGTATTGCCTTTATCCATTTTAAAGTAACCATCTTCTACTTAATCGAATGTTCCCTTGCCCCTGTATGTTAGATTATGGGGAATGACCCTCCATTATGCTGTGTACATTTCTCATGGCTCTCATCGATGAACAGTCTCAGTGCTTTTAGTCTCACTAGATATGAGAGTTTGCCCAGATCTTTTATTATTATTTTTATTAATAATTAATTTTTATTAGCCATCTCTAGCCCCCTCCCTTTCTGCCATACCTTTTCCAAGATGGGAATGTGCAGAACTGAGCCCAGCCATCTTAGTGATTCAAGGGGTCTGTAGGGCTCAGGAGACACTCAAGCAGGAGACACAAATCCTAAGAACAGTTTTTTGGATCAGATAATGAAGGTCAGGTCAGACTTGTTCTGCAGGGCCCAGAGCTGCTTGAGCAGCTGTCTCTGGCCCCTGCTCGCTGAGGTGTTACAGGAGTACCCCTGCTCTTCCACTTCATCATGCTCTGCCAGAGGCTACTGCCCCATGCACCATACCTAGACTTGCCCTGCAACATTACAAGACTTCCCTGGCATGGGTTGCTTCCCCCATGGCCCCTGCTTCCCCACAGCAAGGCAGGAGTTCCCCACGTTTTCCCTTGCACTAGAGTAATGGCTGGGACTGTCACTCAAACATAGGCTTTAGGGGTTCTGTATTTAGGGGCTGAACATATCCGCTTACTTCCCGAGACATGCCCCAGACTGAGCCAGCAGTGTACCCAGCTGAGGCACCACACCGTTTTCAGGGTACGTGTGCATATGACCTCTTTGTTTGAAAGTAGATCTGCACAGTGCAAAGGAGGATATAACCTATTTAGAGAGATAAATATGATGCAGATGCAGCGCTCACCAATCTCACGCTGGGTTCTAGCTTCACTGAGGTACCCAAGAGGAAGTGGTGAGCCACAGGATGTTTCTCGAAAACTCCACAACAGCAGAATACACTAGAACCAGTGTGGGGCAGAGGACGAAGAGACAGTAGGGCAGGTTTCTTTGATTTGATGGACATGACTGGGTCTGCAGATAACATGAACTAATACAGGTAACATTCAAATAAATGCTGCCAATTCCTTCTAAACAACTGGAGGAATGACAACTGAATCCAATAGGAAACAGCTGGGCATCATTTCATCAGCAGGCCCCGGCTGAGCGACAGCTCCCAGGGTGTGTCTGGACAGGCTCCAGAGATGCTGGAGAACAGCAGCCATGCCATGTCTAAGGAGCGCCAAACGCTGCTCGACTGGTAGCCTGCTGCCGGGGCCGGGGAGTCAGATTAGCCATGCCCAGCTCAGGCACTGGGGGACACTAGGCAAATCACTGCCCCATTCTCCCCTGCCGCCTTTGGGCTGTTGAAAGCTGTTGAGGAGGGAGGGTTCTATAGTTCAGACCCGACTAAAGTCTTTCCCTATGGAGACAGGTACAGTTACAAAATCTGCTGCAGAAACAGAGGCAAGACCAAGCTCCATCACCATCTGATCAGAACGCCCCCAGCTCCCTTCCCTGTCAAGGTAAGTTAACTAACCTGGGAACTTCGGCACTAATTGACTCTGGATTTGTCTACCACCGCGTTTGTAACAGGGCTCTGGTTTTGATTGGATTCCAGTACATGAATGGGAATGGCCTAGAGAGTGAGAGCTTTTATCTATTTAAAGGAGCATTTCATGGAGAGGTGCAGCCTTGAGTTCCTACACTAAGCTTTTTAAAAGTTCTCTTGTGCGAGCAGTTCTGGCCCAAAGTTCAAGCATCGGCTGCATGTGAATTTCAGCATTACCACTCGAGCTTCTTTTTCTCACCCTGAGACCATAGTGCAACAAGGTAGATGGACATTTAATTCAGGCCCTGCTCTCAAATGCACTTGCACAGCTTTTGGACTGCTCCGCCTCACCTTTACAAGTCCTGGTGATATACTCACTGTACCCACTGGGAGCTTCCAGAAGAAATGTGCCCTGGAAAGGGCTTCCCTTACCCAACCAATAAAAGCCCTTTCACCCCGTAGGGCTCAGATGAAAATTGCAGATTCTTATTAGAAAGCTTCACCTTCACCTCGGCCTGTTCATTGGGGTCAGCGACTGAGACAGAGCACGTGAGATTGGTGCAATTTTTCCAACCCGGCTGAGCAGGGCTGATGTTTTCAGTTTGAAATCAGAGTTTTCCTTCTCCTAGGTGCACTGCCTGCCCCTGCTGAGGAGCTCACCTGGCTGACAGATGGAAGCGACTTGCTCAAGGTCATGCAGCAGCTCAGAGACAAAGCTAGGAACAGAACCCAGGCCTTCCAAGTGCCAGTCCTACCCTTCGCCTGCTGCCACTCTCAGATTCCCATTAGACCACAGATACACCTACCACCTTCAGAGGAGGCCCCTCTTTTCCTTCAGTTTAAGGAAGGGATTTATTTCATATTAGCTGGAAAGAGCGAGCTGACAGTACTAGCTCCAGTGAGCACATTTGAATAAAAGCCCATAAAGTAATTTACAAAGTCAGATAAGAAGATGTTGTGCTGAACTCTAGAGGGTGGGGTTGGGAGAGGAAGGATTCCCCTGGAGAAATTTGAATGTTAAGTTTTTACTAGACTTCCTCATAAGCTCCTAAACAAAGGTCCATGAGAGCACAAAGGTGCCAAGAGAGTCTTGCGAACAGAGTGGTGTCATGATTTATAGTCATTTACTCAACAGCTTGCATAAATGATATGGTGCTAGGCACTGCTTAATGTATGCTAGGGCTTGCCAGGGCTAAGCCCGGGCTCCTCTAGGCTTGGCAGTTCATAGCCCTGGCACCTCTGGGCTTGCTGCTTCAATTATGAAAGTTAAAAAGAATTGCTTGAGACACGACACCTCTTTCATTACAAATTAAGCACTGGTACTTGTGTGTAACAGATTATATCAGCTCTCTGATGAGCTGTTTACATTAATCTCTTTATGTAGATCACAAAGCTGCCGAGAGCCAACGCCGGTATCTTTGCTTTGAGTGTTCTGTTTTAATTAGCAAGCAGAACAGAAAACAGTTTTTTGTTTTTAAATTCTGTCCAACAATTGATAGGAGGGGTGAGGAGAAGCAGGCCTCATGAGTTCTACCAAAATAATAATAAAAACACGGTGTAGCAGCTTTTGTCACTTATGAGAGCTGCCAAACACTACAGCTGACTTTTTCCCCACACAGTCTGGTTAAAAACCCACATGCCAGCAGAGTGTCACTTCCCTGGACCAACACCCCATTTGTTACCATGGTGTATCCCATCACTTCCATGGTCCCCAGCCTCACAACCACGAACAAGTACGTATGCCTAGCGCCACAGTCTGAGGCAGGGAAGTCTCATGCCCATTTCGCAGACGAAGCACAGAGATTAAGTGATTTTCCTCAAGGTCACCCAGGGAGTCTGTGTCAGAGCAGGAAATTGAATCCAGAGATCCCAAGTCTCAGTCCAGCGTCTTAACAGCCCAACCCATCTTTCTAGAAGTATATTGTGCTACGCTCCTTAAAAATCCCAGCCAAGCTGTAAAACAGTCTTCCCAAAAGCATCAAAAAGAGACAACAACTGAGCCATTCAACTTAGCCATTTTTATTTGGGTAATGCAAGTTCTTATTTTGCCATGATATACACAGGGCAGCCTCTTCCATAGGGCTAGCTGACTGTGTGGAATCTAAGTGATACAGCAAGTCTCAATAAATGTCAACTTTAAGTATAAAAGTATCTAAGTATATATTGCTACTAACTTTTCCAGAAAACACCACTAACACATAATGGCTGCGTTAAGTACAGTACTAAGTAAAATAGTATCATCAAGCAAGTTTCTGGACAATACCATTAAAAACCATCTTTCCTGTAATTTACAAATATGCAAAGTTATCAGGTTACATAAGATTAAGAAGCATTTTGCTTACTAACATGAAACATTACAGTTTTGTAATGTATCATAATTAACCAGGTATACAGGGTTTCTGTGTCCTTGTGGTCTCCATGGCACATGGTGCCAATTTGGCTAGGCCATCCACTGGAAATCTGAGCGGTAAGAACCAGCTAACAGAACAGCCTCCAGCACACCACGGAGAAGTGGGGTGTCAGCCTGCTCTGTGCTCAGTTCTCCCGCTCAGGGTTTGCCACTTAGAAGGACCTTGATTTAACCACAAGATGGACATAATTAAAAAAACATCACCACACAGATACAATGTGCATCAACAAGTCAACTGCTTCTGGCCCGCAACTGAAAGGTTCCTTTGTACCCTAAATAAAATGCTGGGACCAGAATCAATTGCTACCGTATTTGTTTTTGTATATCTTAAAATTTTAGTTACAGTATCTACAAGTCACCAAAGATATCCTTAACCGAAACAGACTGAAGAGGGTCCATTCGTCAAAGAAAATGACACAGCTTTGGATATCTTGTGAATCTGAAGGGTGCTTGTGGGGGTGGGGAGAGAAAATATAGGAGTGAAAGGGCAAAGGTGTGGCAAATTCAAAGAGAAAATACTGAACATTGCCAAGAATTTGGAGGACCCATCAAAACTGTAGTGGCAAAAGGGCAGACACAACGTGCAAGTCCAAGTGGGACCTCAGTCACATTGTTTTACTGATCCTCACAGCTATGGTGGGGTGATGACAAAGGGGGAGGTAACACCACAGGCATTCCAGGCCTCAGCACTATACAGACCCCACGGCGAGGCATAAGGGAAGACCAGGGTTTTAGAAGAGCGGCACAAGCCTGCTCTTCTCTGAATTTTGGTACAGAATGTAGTTTTGGTGGAGAAAGTGCAGGAGACGAGGCTCGAGTCCAGAATGCAGGTTTGGTGCAGTGCCAGGCCCTTCCAGGCAAGCGGAGAGAAGATGAAACGCCTCACTCTTCTGATTAGTGGGAGCCCTGCAGCAGGCGAAATAGCTGCCCTATTCACCGACGAGTGGCCCCACATAAGGCCAACTTATTAGGGGTGGGTAGGGAAGGGAAAGGCCGTAAAAGTGGACTCGAGTCATCTACTGGAATCTGGTTTTTCACATACAGAAATTGAATCTGCCGCTTCCTCACAAGGACCAAATGAAGTTACCCGATGGGAACTCAAGGCAAGCAGCTCAGTTAGGAAGTAGGGAGCAGACTGGACAAGGAGCACAGGCTCCAGCCTTTCCCGACATGTAGTTACACAGACACGTATTGCAAAAGGCACCATCTCAGAGTAACCCCACAGACCCCACTCACTCAGATCTTTCCCATGAAATGCCGTACATTTGACCGTGTGCTACGCTGCTTTGAATGTTGCAGGCTAATGGGAAGAACCAGGGTCCAAAGTGCCCAACTGACAATTGCAGGAGCTCAATGGGCAAGACAGACCCACCTACTCCTACAGGGGAATCCCTGCTCTGTGCTCCTGAGAAAGGCAAAATCCACCTCCTTTCCCCAGATTCCTGCTAATCTAGGGGAGTATGGGAGAGTTTCCTCACAAGCCATTTTGTGAGGTGCATTAGAATTGGCCACACCAGAGTACGCCATTGGCCCACTGAGTCTGGTATCTGGCCTTCATCTTGGACCTGGTGCTTCAGAGGAAGGTGAAAACCCTCACGGAGGCAGACATGCTGAGCGGTCCACAGGAGAGACATTGCTCCCAGGACTCCCAGCACATAGTCTGCCTCACATCCCTGGGTTCTGAGACTTGTACGTCAGTATTTCAGCAGCTAGTCTTTGGGGATCCAGCAGCTGAGGGAAACGGCTCATCACAGCATCTACTAAATGGGGGTGGAATATGCCACAGAGTTTCACATGCACATTCGCTCGCTCTTCTGCAAAGTGGTCCGGCAGGGCCCACTGGCAGTGGTCACTGTACGCTGGCCCTGGGGCTCTCGGCAATGGGTGAGGGTCTCTAATGTTGCTAGGTCGTGTTGGTGTGGGAGGCATTTGGTACGGCTCAGACCAGTATTCACGAAGATGATGTGCTGGGGTGTTATACTCATTGGGAATGCTATAATGCCCAGTACCGGCTGGATGTACAGGCACTCCATAGCCTGGGAAAGACTGAGAGGACCTCGTGTGAGAGTTCTCAGCACTATATGGCAAGTAGCTAGTAACAGAGGAGACCGATTTGCGAGAGCCGTGCTTATAGTGGCCAAGGGTGTCCTGCTCTACACTAGGAGAGTGCTGGTAGACAGGTCTCTGTCTGCTGCAGGTACAGACTGCCATCTGTTCGGGGTGGGAATGCTCACAGTGACTGGTAGATCTGCAAGGCCACATCTCAGACATTTGGTTCTCAAGGGATCCAATGCCTGAGTCAAGATGCTCCTGAGAGATGTAAGGGAGAGAGTCCATATGGGGAGAAGGAGGAGGGTGCTGGTACCAGTCAGACGATCGATAGCTGCCATTGTTAGAGGGGACACTGCCCAAGGCACAACCCCCCTGGATTAGGAGGGGACTGTCACTAGGTTTTGCTTTTTGGGCTGAGCTTTTCCTCTCCATGGAGACCTTCTGCCCAGAGCCTTTGTCGCTGTCTGCGGACACAGAGCAGAGGAGCTCTGCCTGGGAAGGTCTCCTGCTCTTTTTCTCCTCTTTGGCAGTGCTGGTGGGGCTTCTGGTTGGGGACAGCCTTGCATTGGCCCGTAGTTCATCAGCTACAGAGCGCTGTGGCTGGTTGATCCTTTCAGGGTGATAGAATTTACACTTAATCCCATAAGTGCATTTCTTCCCTGCAAGGAAAAGGCAGAACATAGGGTGACCTGCTGCAATTCACCAAGTGTGTACAGTTTACTCTGTACAGACACCACTGCCCTCAAGCCTACGAGGCTAGTCTTACCGTAAGGGCACTGCTGTTTCTTGTGTTCTGGCACCAAAGGTTTCTTTCTCAGGAAGTTCTCCAAGCTGGGGCCATGCCGCCCTAAGGGGTCATCTGGAGGCATAAACCTAAAGGAAGATAATAAGCATCAGTCAGGAGCAACCACTTTCCTGGGCCAAGGTTTCAGTCTCTCAGCTGCACGAGGATTAAAAATTACCCACACCTGCGAACCCCGCCCCGTGCCAGCCAAGACACAAGCCCTGGCATGGCCACAGGAGTCAGTGATTCAGACAATTCCTCCAGCCCCAACAGGGGGTCGTCCCTTGGAAGAAAAGTTTCCCCTTTAATCCTCTCAGTGACCCATGGCAGGCTGACCTGTTCATTGGCCATACAGAGAAGGGCTGCTGCCCATCAGTACGTTGCAAGTAAACTAGAGAAGGATTTGATGGAGATTGTTGCAAGAGGCCTCTTGCCCCAGGAGCAGAGCAGGCTGCCTCCCACGCATTGCTGGTCACGCCAATCCTGTGCTCTGCTGTCGGCACGCTGGGCCAGCTGATCGTTTCCCCGTTCGTAACGCAGAGGAAGCGAATGCTCTGTACCAGTGCCAGGCCCGCTCAGGAATGTCAGCAGGGAGGAGCTTCTGGCTCCAAGCAAGCCAAGTGCAGTCAGAGCCACTCTTAGCCTTTTCTTTGTGCCCTCCCTGTGACTTGCTGCAGACTGGGAGGAGCTGTTCCATCTACGAAGCACTGAGTCACTTCCTCTCAAATACCTTAAGTCATTTGCTTTACTCTGTGTTTGACACTCACCTTTCCAGCCCTCACAGGTCATCTCCCAACACGGAGATGCCACTGACCTTCTATTAATCAATGGTCACTTAAAACTGCTGTATTGTTTTTAAGCGCCTGGGGAACGGGAACGTACTTGTCGTTAACAAACGAATACATCAGCAAGCGCTCCTCAATGAACTTCTTCCATTCCGGACGCTCATTCTGCAGGTCACGGTAAGTGTCGTTGGAAACCACGATGCCATCAGACTCGTATGCCAGTTTCACAATGAAGCGGTCATCATAACAGACAACGCGTTTGCCTCCAACCCGCCTGGAAGGAGTGAAGACCAGAATTTTCTTCTTTTCAAGGTCACGGAGAATGTGCTGGTCTGGAACAAACAACCATGAAAACATGGCATAAACACACACAAGCCCATACAGCCTGGTATCATTTCCAGGCAACAGATGCCAAGAAAGTAAAGTGTAATGTTTACAGGAAAAAAATAACTAGCTAGGAACATGCAGAGTCCAGCCGGTTCCAAAGGGGCACAGCGTCAGGCTTTGACATTTCAGTTACTCTCTGTCCTGCGCAGACTGCTACTGTTAAAATCTTTCCAATTTTTAGGAAGTTTTTCAATTTCCCCACCCAGCATCCCTCTCATGGGCACTGAACCAAACTAAATTTAACACAGACCAAGACTGTCTTCTGGCTAAGGGGCTGGACTGGGACACCTCAAACCTCAGTTGCTTGGAAACTCAGAACAGCAATTATCACCACCTGGACCCATCTGAATAGATCCCCATCCTGCTATATTCTACCAAGCTCCTTGTCGGTTAACATTTCATACAGGTGTGCTGTATGGCCATTTACAAGAGGAAAAAATGAATTCTGGAAATAAAAGGTAACACACCAAGTGAGTAAACCTCAGGAATAAGGAAGCATTTTGGAATAAAGTTAATTATGTTCTTTGAACTCAGCTACCTTATCTGAGCAAGAACTTGCTTAGAGGAGAGGTTAGGGACTTGAAATCTCACTGGTCAGAAGCTTGGTGAAGTTTCTAGTGCTCTTATTTTCCATTCACTACCTAGGAGCTTACTGGCCAAAAGGACCTTGGCAGGCTTATTAACATGTGACAATTGGAAGCTTTAGAGATTTAGTTTTGGCTTTAGAGTTCCACACCTGTGATGGGCACATCTGGTCTTGGCTGTTCTTTTCTCCAGGATGGCACAAAGACTGTGATATCTAGGTGTCCTCTGTCCCAAAACCAGTGAACGGCTAGCAGGATACCTCGGCAGGAGAACACTTCTTTATTTCCATGGCTGCATTAAAGAGGATTGAAGAGGACCTTGTTTTCAGTATTCAGATACAATGTACTTTTGCATATTCAGACAGCACACGAGTCAGACAGTCCAATACTAAGCAAGTAGAGCCAGTGTTTTGACATCTTTTCAAGGTGGTACTTTTGTAGACCCGGTATCCTGTTACTCTACAGCTGCTGAATTTGTACATTTATTGCAATACATTAAAGAGGCTGAGGGCACTAGTAGTTCTGTCTTAAGCTATTCTAAAGCTGCAATACCCACAAATCCTCAGGCCCACGGAGCACCCACAACTTTCATCAATTTTTAGCACCTCTGAAATCGGGGCCCACTTGTTTACAACTAGGCACTCAAATCTATATTTAGACTCCCAAGTTACATTTCAGTTTTGCTGGCATAGCTATGTCAGAGGTGGGAGGGGAGAGAAGAAAGAAGAGGGAAATCACACCCATAGCCAACAGAGCGCTACTGGCAAAACCTCCTAATGTAAATGCAGTTCTGCTGGCAGAAAAACGTCCGTTTGCAGTATAGCTTCATTTTGTTTGGAGAACTGGGGTAAGCAAGCGATACCAACAAAAGGACTCTTGCCACTACAACTTCGTTCAGACTAGAAGGGGTCGCCAATATAGCTATATTGGGCAAACGGTTGTAGTATAGACCAGTCTTCTTTTTCCCTTTACTTTACTTCATACCAAAAATGTGTTACCCATCTTTACAGATGATCTTTGTTGAAGGACAGAGCCTCTCCTCATTATACAGAGCCCAGTACGTGGAGAGACTACCTGGGACTGCACTGTGTTTGTGGAATGGCAGCTTCAAACCTGAAAGCCCCTAACAAATTCTGTATATCCAGCTGGCCTGTTAAAGACAATCAAGAGAAGGAAAAATTCTACCAGAAGAAAAGGGCAATCACAAGTATCAGAGGTTAGTTGCTAGTACAACACAATCCTTCCTACTGAATGGTCAATTAAGTCAGATCAATAAGTCTCTGGAGAGTTTATATATAACAAATGGCTGGTAATCATTTCTTTGCAGGTTCCAGTATTCACAATGTTATCAGTGCTTATGTTGCACATTAACTAGAAATATTATCAACTGTTTCCAAGTTACTAGTTTCACAGTAGTGACGGATCAGGGCTGTAGGTGGTATTTACTTTAGGGTGACTTTCAGAGACCATGCGTGTTGCACTGAAGAGTATGAAGGGGGAGTCACTTCAAGAGAATCAATTTCCACTCACTACCCACTTAAACAAAAATTCATATTACATTTCTAAAAATATTAATATCCACAATGCAAAATAATTAGATTATGGTCCATGCAAACTCAAGAATCCTTCAGACTTCAACGAACTTGCTTTATGTTTAAGCAACCCTCCCTTCAGTAGGTAAAAGATTCTCTGGAAGACTATGTTCAGAGTCAAGTATTTTTGAAACAAATAAGAACTACATTAAAGTGCATTACCAAGGTAACAAAGAAATGCAGCAGCATATTAGCATACAAAGAGCCTTGTCTCCTATCTCTTGGATGATGGACAACTGACTACCCTTGAACCTAGTTCATTTTGTTACACAGACTCATGTATTCTAACTGGCCAGCTTCAATCAGGTCATCTTGTGATCCACTATCATAAATACAGTCCGTGATCTGGGGCTCAGATACCCAAAGAAAACACATGAAAGGCAACTGCTCATGTTGGTGTTTTCTGAAGAGCATTCATGTCATATCACTTTTCACAAGAACAGGGTTGTAACTCTTGTATCCTTGCCAAATTCTAATTTAGGTAATTACATGGTGCCTACTTAAGTTCCCTTGCAGTTTCAGAGAACAAGATTTGTTTCCTGTCCTAAACCATAGTGTAATGTTAACATGTGCCAATAAAGAAATGTCACAGTTCATGTCAGAGGCAGCTGCATTTCACTGATGAAGATATTCCTGGTTCAAAACTGCTTGGGGAGCCTTCATAACAAAAGATGTTATATAAATGTAAGATAACACAAACAGGATTAGTATTATCTGTGAGTATTGCCTACAAGTCTTATCACAATTTTTAAAGGTGAAAGTTCTTATGTGGGAAAAGCAATGGGCGCCTAGTCAGGAAAAATCTGCTTATTTATACCACCACAAGAGGTTCAGAATGGCTTATGACAATACAAAGGTACACAGATCACAAGAACAACGAGGAGTCTGGTGGCACCTTAAAGACTAACAGATTTATTTGGGCATAAGCTTTTGTGGGTAAAAAAAACACTTCTTCAGATGCATGGAGTGAAAATTAGAGATGCAGGCATAAACATACTGACACATGAAGAGAAGGGCGTTAGCTTACAAGTGGAGAACCAGTTTTGACAGGGCCAATTCAATCAGGGTGTATGTGGTCCGCTCCCAATAATTGATGAGGAGCTGTCAATACCAAGAGGGGGAAAATTGCTTTTGTAGTGAGCCAAGGCCCATACCATATTAAGTCATTCTGCAGTCTTAGAGACTGATCTGGCAAACTCTTGGCCAACCAGAGTAATGAGTAATCTCATTGTCTCCTCACCGTAGGCAGCTCTACATAGTCAGTCAGCGTTTGCAGTGTGGAGGCATAAAGCAGGTACAGTATAATTAAATGAAGTCCGAGAACTGGAAAAAACTGAAGCACAGACATGAGAGGGGGCATCTTTTTGGGGGCATGTGGGTGTAAAAACATCCCCCATAAAACATACAGAAGTAAATGCTCTGTGGAAAAAGCTCTGAACACAACTGTCCTTATATTAGCCATCGCATGCTATATTTCTGAACCCTGCTCTTGAGTTCTTTGGGGAACGTCGTCAGAAGTGCCTACATTCAAAGAGACTATTTGTTTCTCTGCAAAACAGTTAAATGCCAGAAACCTTTACATCAACGTGAGCAATATATACGGTGACAAATACCAAAGGCACTAGGGTTTTGGCCTCTGGAGCCTCTTGTTATGGTCTTATGAAGTAAAAGCAGAGGGCTTGTTATGTAAATTCTTAGCTTTTTTGTGAGTAAAGTGGAAAAAGGCACCTATGTTCTTTCCCCAATAATAGATTTTTAAAAATGGCATGTAGCTCCATAGGGCTCCTATTACAAGCCTAAACGTGGTATTTTGTGGTTTTTGCCAGTTTAGTCGCTTTGATGCAGTAAGAGTGATTTTTTTTTTAAGTCCCTATGAATTTGCATGAAAAACCCCAACACATGGAGCAGCCACTTTCTAAATGAAATAACTTAGGCATGTTTTCTTCCCACCCTCCTCTACAGCAACAAAACAACTTCTACTTTACCTTTCAGAATACAGTAGAACACCAGAGTTACAAACTGACCAATCAACCACACACCTCATTTGGAACTGTAAGTATGCAATCAGGCAGCAGAGACAAAAAAAAAGCAAATACAGTACAGTATTGTGTTAAACAAACTATTAAAAAATTAAAGGGAAAGCAGCATTTTTCTTCTACATAGTAAAGTTTCAAAGCTGTATTAAGTCAATGTTCAGTTGTAAACTTTTGAAAGAACCACCCTAATGTTTTATTCAGCATTATGAACAACCTCTATTTCTGAGGTATTCGTAACTCTGAGGTTCTATTGTAGAAGGGTTTAAAGAAACCCAACACCATCCAAAGTTCACTTCCTCACTGAGCCAAACTCCAGCCTAGAAATAATTTTTTAAAGCTCATGAAACAGAGAATATATTATAATACAACTGAAGACATGCTCAGATACTCCAGTGATGGGAGCCAAATGAATACCTGACCGGGCAGAACTTTCACTGCTGCGGGACCAAGAATTACTACTTTCTCCTTCAGCTCCCAGCTCCAGGGTATTTTACAGATTATAGAACCATCATCATTTGAATTGGTTCTACATGGACACAGATTTGAAATGTTATTTCTATATTATTGTTATATGGAATTCTCTAGTTTAATCAAAATGGGTCCTTCATTCTGTAGGAAACAAAAAGAGAGCCAAGCTAAGGGAGCACCTTCTGTTAGTGAGAAACACAAGCTTTCGAGCTACACAGAGCTCTCCTTCAGGTCTGGGAAAGATACCCAGAGCATCCCAGCTACATAAAGGTGGTACAAAAGGTTTAGCATAAGGGGCTAACATATTTAAGACTATTCAAGGTGAAGTGAGCAATTAACAGTAGTAGGACAAGGAAGGGTCAGCGGGTTATCGATTGTTATGAGCCATAAATCCAGAATCTTTACTGAGTCCATGATTTTTAGTGTCTAGCAGCGTTATGACTTTAAACTCCCAGGCTTGTCTTTTGAAGGTGTTGTGCAGGTTTCCTTCGAGGACGAGGGCTGAGAGGTCAGATATGGAGTCATCGTTTTGTGAAGAATGCTCCATCCATGGGTGATGGGGTGTTTTTGTCTTATTTTTCTGAGACAGTTCATTCGAGAGAATAGTGATTGTGTGGTTTGACCCACATAGTTATTGGGCCACATGGTGCACTGGATGAGGTACACCACATGTTGTGATAGGCACCTGTGGGACCCACGGATCTTGAAAGGTGTGTTGGGGGAGGGTCCTATGACTGCAGAAGTGTTAACATTGTAAGAGACCATTCAAATGGGCAGTTAACGCCTTATTCTGAACAATCTGTTCCACCTTGTATTTAACTGCAACACTCTGGGTATGTCTACACTGCAAAGCAAGCACAGGCTTGAGCCTAACCCCCCTTCCGTCTACATACAAATCGTGTTAATCCAGGGCTCAGATCGAGGATCCCAAGGGGTTGGAGGGTGTGAGTCTGAGTTAAGTCAGGACCCAGGGTTCAAGCCCTATTGCAGATGCAGCCCCACTGGGCTCATGTTCTGGGAGTATGCTACATGTATCTCTCAATCCCACAGGCCAACTTTATTTGCCCTCTTCAGAGTCAAGTTTTCCCACATTGCACCACGAACAAAGGGTTTGAGTGTCCACATTTTGGGAGTGTGCAGGATATGGACCCAGACCCACGTAACGCAGCATAGATGCCGGAGCCCCAGGTTAGGACCCAGGGTTCAGTAATTCCTAGCCTGGAGTTACAAATGAGTGTAGATTTTCAAAGTGTAGATTAACAAACCCAGGGTCTGCTAACTCGAGTTCTATTAACCCTAGGCTTACACTGCAGTGTAGACCTACCCTTTGAGTACCTTTCCCACTGAAGAAGAGCTCTATGCAAGCTCAAAGCTTGTCTTGTTCACCAACAGAAGCTGATCCAATAAAAGATATTACCTCACCCATGTTTTGTCTCTAATATCCTTGGACCAACATGGCTACAACTACACTGCAAACAGGAAATTAAAAAAAAAAATTAGTTTTACTGCATGTGTAAGATTTAAGCCACAGACCAATTTGAGACTGTTGCAAGGTTTATTTGGATATGAAGATAAACAGGGGGAACTGAATATCTACCTAGGTTTGTTTTGTTTCTCCCTCCCCCCCCATTATTCAAAACAAATGCAGACATTTACTGTACCCCAGGGACAGCACTGCTGCCTGGAAGCTATCTTTAAAACTTCCTTGAGAATGTTTTAAAATAGTAAGCTTCCAAAGTTCAATTACCTTACATCAAGGGCCAGAAGAAACATACCCAAAAAGGAATTTTTACAAAATCAATAGGAGTTGAAAGATACCCAGACATTTACCACCACAGTTCCTGAAAGATTAAATGAAAAACATGCATTCAGGTTTCTGGAGTCCCAGCTAACAAGTCAGAGTCCGTAATGAAAATGGCCAAATGGGCTGATCTGATTTGGCAACTACAGAGAAATTCCCTTAGAAGGAAGTAGAAGCTAATTTCCACTGAGATTTGCATATGGGGTTGAGAGCTGTACACGGAGGCCTGCTGCTCATTGTGCAAGTAAATCAGCAGGGAACATCATACACCATGAATACAGGAAGTTTCAGAATGGAATTCCCCTCCTGGTAAACGGCTTTAAAAAAACCCACACCAGTCAACGGATTGCTTTGCAAACATTAAACTTTGTTCCAGCTACAGTATTACTACATCTTTATAGGAATCAGAGGAGAAAGGTTCTTCCTTTAAATGGCCCCTAAAGATCAAGTGTTATAAGTACAGAAAGAGAAACCAAGACAGACATTTCCAGAGGGACAGATTCTGTCCTGACAAGTTCTCTCAACTATATCATAACAAATATTTAGAAGAACAGCATCAAACAGTATTTGCTTTGGAACCTTTCACCCTAAAGTTTAGTCATAACATGTGGCATGTTTCTAATGGGGGGGGGGGGGGAGGGAGCAAGCATTGGTTAATGCAACAATGCAGGCATAAACCTGGATATGTAAATCAACTACTCCCCTGAAGAGGAGGCAACTACAGGCATGATACTGGAAAAAAAACAAACCACCAAATCATACTTATGCTGGATGCCTCACTCCCTGCAATGTGTTTCAACTCCTCCTTCCTCAACACAGCACCAGAGGGGTTGGGTCTTCGGCATTAGGGAGGTCAAGAAATCCCACTAACTCTGAAATGGACAAGTGGGCCAATTCTTCTCTGCAGTTATTTTGTGTAATACAATACAAGTGCTGAACAGATCTATTTCGCCACAGTCCCAAATCAAGGAGACTAGTCACCGCACACCTGGTCTGCCTGTGACCACATCTGCCATGCACTCGCCTTTGCTTGAGGTGGCTTGAGGGAAGAGCATCCGGGGTAAGAGCCTAATACTTTGTCTGCATGAACTAATAAATTCAGAGTTAAAGGTTTCCCCAATAAAATTAACACTACCCACTAGCACATCTCTTAAAATAAGGTCTTTTCTCCCATTAACACACTATGCTGGGAAATGCAGCTTTGTTGGAGAAACAATTATTAATGGAAAGGGGCCAATCTCTCTCTTACACACACTTCCAGGTTAAGTCCACTGGCTACAAGTCTGGTAGGTCAGTGTGCACATCAGAGCACAAACACAATATTTCCTGATCATACTGGCCAAGTTGGGCCTTGGCTCTCAGATCTGTTATACGGTCAGGAGATAGGGTGTTCCCCTTCCTTTCTCATACAGTCTTACTCAGCCATACCACCAATCATGACAGGGGGTATGGCTGAGTAATGATGATGACAATCATCAACTCCTATTGATTTTCCCTGCCCCATACAACCCACACCTGTAAGGCAGTCTCCATAAAGGACTTTCTTCTGCCCTGGGTAAATCTTCTAGAGTAGCTCTGTGTGCACTGGCATGTAGCTTCTCATTACCAGAGAGATTAAGACAATCAAATATAAACTGAAGGAAACTTGTATTTGAATTGAAGTGGCAGAATCAGATTTGAAGTCTGAGTGGATTATCCTCTGGCCAACTGGTTCCACAGGACTTGATTTTTTTTTTTTAAATCTAGAGGTTAGTATACTGTATGGTCAAAAAGAGTTCACTAAAGGGGAGCCTTCCTCATATCTTCCCACTTCTCCCCCCAAAAATCCACTTTACCATTCTTAGGGGGCAAAACGAGGCTGAAAACTTTTAATCCAGCCTGGGCCAGAGCTGAATCTGTCCAATACACATGGTACCCCAGATCTCTTGATCAGATTGCCGATAAAAAGAGGGCAAGCTCTCGCAACAGACGGTATGAGAGATTTGCAGATGAGTCATCTTGCCTCCATATTCACAGCTGTCAATGATGCTGCAGAACTGGGGCACCCCTATCATTCTAAACTGGAAATCTATCCCTCTTTTCCTCCACCCAACCTGCAGATCTGCCGTGAGATTTAACCAAAATGTTGTGGAAACTAGACCTGAGATGCCGCTTTACTCAAAGCTACAGCCTCTTCTAATTAACCCTGAAAAAATTATTTGTTGAGCAACTTCCTGATTTTGGAGCTTACGCACAGTAATTAGGTAACAGGACTACACATCAGGGATTTCACTTCTGCTTGCTAGTTTAGACAAGAACTTTAGCGTTTCATATGAACCAAGTCTGAAATTCCCAGTGGGCACAAAAGTCCCCATCATTCACACCCTGGTGGGAAGTCATGGCAGAGAAACCAAGAACTGGATGGGCCATTAAGACAGACTGAACCTCACATTTGTAGATGTTGCCCTTCCAGGTGGGGGAATGAGACATGTTGGTGAGACTGTTCTATCAAAGCCCAGCCTGGCCTCACGTTTATGGAGAACTTGGAGGGCTCCAGAGTTTTTAACCTGGTATCTTTCATAAGCACCAAATTCCCCCAAACCAAAAAACCTTAAGAAATGTAAAGAAATTAATTTTAGCAAGCTGGCATCAGATTAAATTATAAAGTAAAGACACTTCTCCCACTTAAGGGGACCAACATACCTCATTGCCACATTGCTTCCATCAATAACAATGGGTTTTAAGTTATTGCCTTCCTTCTCCTCCAACGGTGGCACAAGTGCAGGCGTTTTGTTGGTAAGTCCCCCACGAGGTACCAATGGGGCTTCTACGGCCTCCTCTGAGGGGTCGGTAGTCTCTCTGTCAGTAGCTGCAGCACCATGCTTCACAAGCTCCCCAAGGACCGTATTGGTGTCAGCATTTAAGCCCAGTTTTTGGAGGACGATATAGATCTCTTCTGATGAGTAGCCCAGTTTGCGGAAGAAGTCCACTTTCATTTGCATCTCAACACTGTTCATGAGGTCCTGCTCCGAAATCCTGAGCCTTTCCTGTGCTGCCCGGGGTACCACATCCACCATGCTGAGCGGCTCACACTCTGTTGGGTTCTGGCCCTTGCCAGGAAGCACACAGTTCAAGTTGAGGTGACCGTTTTCAGATGTATCTCTGGAGCTCATCCTTTTGTCAACCTGAGTAACTTAATGTTTGTCAACTGAAAGCATCTCACTCCAGCTGGGAAAACCCAGAGCACAAGGAATACTGTCCAAGTTCATAATTTTCCTCAGGCAAGTTCTGTTTTTCATTCACACCCAGTATCTGTGAATCAATATAGTGATCGTTAACTCCTAAAGACTTGATCTAAAATAAAGGAAATGCGGGAACTGTTTTCACATTAACATGCTTCAAATTCTTCTCTGTGGCTCAGATATTCAAGAACTCTGGAAATCCTTTTATTGATACTTCATGTTTATGTTTCCAAAGCACATCAGAAGAATTGAGAAATCTTTAGAAATCCCATCCCCTACACATTGTTAACGTGCAGACTGTTTGCACTCAATTTAATTCAGTGTTTGTCAAAATAGGGTATCACCTTCCTATAGCACATCAGATAGACTTGTTAAAATGGTCACGTTTCTCATGGCTTTTGTAATAAGGATCCTGGGATGTGCAACCTCACTCTTAGGACATAAATAGCACTTTTCACCTTCAAAGTGCCCTACAAATGTTAACTGATTAAGCCCCACAAACATCCCTGTGAGGCAGGGTCAGTTATTAATCCTTGTACAGATGGGAAAACTGAGACTAAGGCTAAGCAGTTTGTGCAGAGTCATGGAGCAAGAGGGTCAATGACAGATATGGAATTGGGACGCAGATTCCTGATCCTGTGCTCAGACCATGAACCTCCTTGTCTGTGTTCCACCCTTCAAATGGGGGGCACACCGACAGCCCCTTGGCTACCATGACGTGAGCTAAAACGTAGCCTATGAGTAACAGAGTAGCAGGATAGAGCACCTGTGCTCAACTGTGACCTCAAGCTTTTGTAAAAAGATTTCATTTCCACCTACTCTCAGATTCTTGTTTCAGGTCTGGGCATTCCTACTTCACAGACAGAAATGCAGGAAACAAACACAGGGTACACACCGATCGCCTTCCGGGCGTCTAACAGAAACCCCGTGGGGCTGCCATTCGCCCTGCCAGCCCAGTCCAGCGAACAGGGCACTGGCCCAGGAAACCTGGGTTTTATTCTCCCTCTGCCAGGGACCTGGTGTGACCTTGAGCAAGTCACTTCCCCTCCAGCCTCTGCTGCTCCTCGCACCCTGGGTCTGGGAGGGAAAGAAGAGAGAGCCCCTTCTCGGGCCCCCTTACCTGCCCCCCAAGCCCGGCAGTGAACGGGGGGAAAGGAGAAGATAGCCCCTTCTCGGGCCCCCTTACCTGCCCCCCAAGCCCGGCAGTGAACGGGGGGATAGGGGGGAGATAGCCCCTTCTCAGGCCCCCTTACCTGCCCCCCAAGCCCGGCAGTGAACGGGGGGATAGGGGGGAGATAGCCCCTTCTCAGGCCCCCTTACCTGCCCCCCAAGCCCGGCAGTGAACGGGGGGGAAGGGGGGAGAGAGCCCCTTCTC